GCTCCTTGGAGGCAAGAATTCTGAGGCTCTGTCTAACATACTTTGGACATGTTGTGAGGAGAGACCAGTCCTTAGAGAGGGACATCATGCTTGGGAGGGTGGAGGGACAGTGCAGGAGAGGAAGGCCCTCTATGAGGTGGTTTGATTCAGTGACTGGGGTAATTAGTTTGGGAGTGTCAGAGACAGTGCGATTGGCACAGGACAGAGCGGAGTTTAGGGCTGTTGTACATAGGGTCGCTATGAGTTGTGGGCGACTCGACGGCACATAACAACAACAACAACAAACAACAGTAGGAGGAGTAAAGGAAGTGGAAAAGATGAGTCAGGGACCTGAAAAGGCAGTGTAATGATTGGTATAGTTCAATGGTGATTAATTCAATAAGAAAAGAAATGTTGAAAACATCTTGGAACCAAATTGACATATTTTACTGCTTATATAATGAGAAACTTTTAACAGCTCAACAGCACATAACAAGAACAACAGCTATGAGGATGTACACGTTGGGAGGACACTCAGTCATGAGTTCATCTCTTCCATCTTGATGAACTAAAGTATTGAGTTTATTCTGTTGTCCATCTCTTTCCTGCTGGTTAGAGAAGTGCAACAATTATATGCAAAATAAACAAACAAAAATTGAAAGGAACAATAGAAAACCCACACACTTTAGTGAATCTCACTGGAAATCACTTAGAGGATGGCATACTTTTTCTGGAAACTTCTAAAAACAGTAAGAGCCAACGATGGAGACTCAGGATGTTCTAGCCACAAGTGGAATCTGCACTCAACCCCAGGCTTTAAAGCAAACAGTTGGTTTCTAAAACTGAAGGAAGAAGAGCCACGTGTTGTGTGTTTTTTTGTTTGTTTCTTTGTTTGTTTGTTTATTTTATCTGAGTCACTTTGCTTGGATGGACTTTCAGTGGATGACTGCAGACAGAAGGAAGAGGAGGGGCTTCCCAACAAGTGGTCTCTGTGAAGGAGCTGGGCCAGGGTGAAAGCAACACAAGAACAAGCAGAAGCCCCAGGAGGAACTGAGCAGGAGCAGTGGTGTGTTCCCCTCCAGGCAGATGAGAAAGGAGTTCTTGTCTCACTTCCTTGCAGGCCTGAAGCACAGTGCGAACTCTAAGCTGGTATCATCGGATCCACAGTAATAATGAGCCTCATCCTCCCCCTGGAGCCCACTGATGGTCAGGGAGGCTGAATTCCCAGAATAAGAACCTGAGAATCTGTCTGGGATCCCCGAGGGTCGATTGTTATTACCATAGACAAGGGCTCTAGGGGCTTGGCCTGGAAGCTGTTGGTACCAGCCTGCATAGTAACTGCCAAGGTTGGTGCTGCTCCCAGTGCAGGAGATGGTGACCTGTTGGCCCAGGTTCCCAGACACTAAGGGCGGCTGAGTCAGCACAGACTGGGTCCAGGATCCTGCAAGAGAAGAGAGATGGTGATCTCAGAGTCCAGAGACAGGAGAAGAAAACAGATTGCTGTGTGTCTTCCCAGGATTTCTTCCCTGACCCCAGTCTAGTCACCTGTGCAGTGAGCAAGGAGGGAGATGAGGAGAAAGATCCAGGCCATGGTGGAGATTTCCCTGAGTCTTGTCTTCTGTTGACCTAACTGCTACTGCAGAGCTTCCTCATCTCCCCATCCTCTCTTCATACTCTGAGAGAAGGGAGGGTCCGTCTATGCAAATGAGTTTAATCTCAGTTTTCTGCTCTTGTGTCTGAGGACAGGGAGGAAGTGGGGCAGTGCTGGTGCTGTGTGGGATTGAGTGTGGAAGGTCATAGCTGAGACCTCAAGGCTGGGACTTGGTCCTGATTCCCAGCTGTGATCACCTACATACACCTCAGACGTTGACCATGAGCACCCCCTACAGCCCAGACTCTGATACAGCCATCATGTGATATGGAGACCAGAGCTCCTCAGAGAAAGTTTTTGCTTCCCCACTGATATACACCCACTGTCCCTTAGGTCGGGCTGCCCCTTTATATGGTCTCCCCAGGAACTCAGGACAATCTGTTTTCTCTACTGAGAGTCCTCAGAGCTGCATCTGTTCATGGATCCAGTGGATCTCCATGGAGTCACAACTGAAATGTTGCTTTTATGAGAACTTCTCCATAGATTCAATTAGTAAATAACAAATGCTGGAGAGGATGTGGTGAAATTGAACTCTCATACACTACTGGTAGGAATGTAAAATGATGCAACCAGCATGAAAAGCAGTTTAGCATGTCCTCAAAAATTTTAAAATAAAAATATTATTTGACTAACAATCGGTGTCTATCCTAATGAAATACAAGCTATAACATAAACGTATTATGCACAACTATGTTTAATCCATCCATATTAGAACGACACAGAGGAAATAACCTAAGTGTCCACCAGTGGATGAATCTCTAAAAAACTAGGTAATTTCACTCAAGAGAGTAATAAGTAACATTGAGAAACAGTGAAAAATGGAACAACATGAATGAAATTACTATGCTGTATAAAATAAGGCAATCATGGAAGGAAAATATGACATAAGATTACTATTAAAAATGTAAATAAAGGTTTACAAACACACAGAATCATTCTCAGACTCCTCAACAGCCTCCTTTATGCAGACGACACAACCTTGTTCACTGAAACTGAGGATCTGAGGAGGCTATTGCAGAAGAGCAAGGACTGCAGCCTTTAATATGGATCACATATCAATGTTAGAAAAAAAATGTAAATAAAGATGATAGATGGAGACAGAGGCCTTTGAATTTGTGGTATTGGAGAAGAGTACCGAAGGTCTCTTGGATTGTCCAAAGAACAAACATGTCTTCCAGGAGGAGGTATAACCAAGGACCTTTTAGAGGTAATGATGGTAAAGGTCTACTTTAGATCAGGCCTGCTTTAAACTGACATCACTGTTCTTTAGCAGATCTTCCCAATTCTGCAGGTCTTTTGATTTCTCAACTGTTGCTGTCATGTGTGTTGATTGTTGCCAACTTCAACATTTTCTCCAAATACCATGATGTTGCATGTGATCTAGTAGCGAGATTTTTTTATTTCCTTGATCTTAACAGACTGCACTGCAATCCTGAAGGCACACAGTTCAAGGCCACCGACTGTTCCATGGGAGAAGGATGGACAGTCTCCTCTCATGTGATTAACTGACTCTGAAAAGCCGCCAGAGGGTCAGCTTGGGTAAGTTCTGGCTTGATGGTACTTAACAACAATATATACATAAGACAGGGAGGGGATGTATTGACTTAAACCCCAAAATGGAATATATATATATATATATATATATATATGAATTAATTGTTCAACATTAGCAGGGTTCCAGAGGATGATATCAGAGAAAGAAAGAATATAAATAGATTAATAAATATTTTATAAACACACATTTCTATATTTACCATAATGCTTTTTTTCTGATTTTCACTGGTGTTAACGTATTTTTGATATATTAGGGGGAAATGTGGTAACAGAAATACACTCCTTGAAACTGGTCTTGAATATAAGATTTAAGCCAAACCAGAGAGAGCAGATATTCTGGCCAAAGAAGCACAGAGAAGGTCTATCATCAGGGGTAGCATGTTTGTGTCTCACTTCTCCATCGACCAGTAGCACTGTGTAAGCATCAATACTGTAGTCCCAGGATAAGCAACAATAATCATCCTGATCCTCAGGCAGGAACCCCAGAGATGTTCAGGGAGAATTTGCTGATTTGGAACCTGAAAATCAGGCCAGAATCCCAGGCAGCCTCTTATTAGTAAATAGATTAAGGTATTGGGGACACTGCTGGAGAGCTACTGGAACAATTATGGAAATCCACATTCGGCATTACTGCTGTTTCCAGTGCAGGATATGATGACTGTCTATCACACAGACACAGGTATTGCAGCCACCAGCTGAGTCAGAAGAGACTGAACCAAAGACCCTGAAGTCAGGAGAGACATGGGGTAAGAGAGGCAGGTTTAGAGTCACATGGCTTCCTTGTTTTTCCATCCCCATATCTGGTCTGCACTCACTTGTGCAATGAATGAAGAGGGTGAGAAGAGGAGCCCAGGCCATAGTGGAAACTCACAAGACTCTGCGTCCTGTGACCCTCAGCTGGTTCTAGGCTCCAGAAAGCCCTCTATCCCCTCCAGCAGCCAAAGGAGGGAGGACCACTTGTGCAAAACAATGACCTCCCCTGAGATGGACAAACCTCACCATAGAAACCTTATAGAGTTTGACAAGCACTGTGG